TCTAAGGCTTGTATACAACTATAGCGTCAAACATATTTTACAGAAAGAAGGGAACTAAGCTATTTAAAACAAATACAAATTAGACACATTACTTAACAGTTCATATTGTTCTAAAATGCCAACACTGCTAGAGTGATCATAATTCCTTTTTTTCCACATGTCTGTGCCATAGGGTAAGGTTTGATAAAATGCAGTTTTTCTATTTTATTTTGTCTCTGTTCTTAATACATTATTTAATTATTAAAGTTGTTCCAATTCTTTTACATTAACCTATAGCAAAATTGTCACATGCATGATAAATAGCAACAGTAGAAATCTTTTGGTAACATCTTCAGGTTTCATATAATTTTCTTACATTTGTATATTTTCATGAAAGTAAAACTTCAGAATACTAAAACATCTAATTAACTCACAGTGAATTGTATGATTTTGAAGACTGTTTATTCAATAATGGGGACCACTGACATGTAGAATTGAGTCTAAATGCCATAGCAAAGCTTATAATGTCCACAGAGTGTTCTTTCTACGTCTCTAAAAATTTGTGTGTTGAACATTTGTTGCTTCAATACTTATTATCAGGTGGTATTGAGCTCACCAGATTGCTCTGTCTCCATGCTATTCATGATTTTGTGCTTATGCTTTCACTGTTTCATTTATGAATTTTCTCTCCATTTTTTATTTGTTTCTGAATCATCTTTCAAAGTTGTAGCCTAGGTATTTACTCATCTAAACAATTCCTAGATTGAAAAGTTCACTTCTTGTTCTCACTAGACAGTCTGTGCTCATCTGTAAGTTATCTCCTTCCTTAGATTTGACAAACTGTGCATTCCTTTAGTACACCATACATATGTTGAGAGAAGTGGTTGTACCATGGCCCCAAGCCCAGGCCCTGACACAGAGTGAATGTAAAAAACTGTAACAAGCATTGTAATGAAAGGGTCATCTCTGGTAGTGTGTTAGTTACTTTCTCATTGTTGGGAGAAAATATTCACTGCCATAAGTTAAAGGAAGAAAGATTTATTTTAGCCCATGGTGTGTAGAGGTATCAGTCCATAGTTGGCTGGTTCCAAAAGAGGGCAGTATGGAAAAGTAGCATGGCAGGAAAGAAATAGTACATAGTGTAGCAGGCAAGAGACAGGAACCAGCACACCTCCCTTTCTTTTTTATTCCATTCAGGTTATAGGCCTTTTGGTTGGTGACACCTCCATCCACATCCAGAGCCATGGAAAGCCAATCAGTGTACTAACTCAGTTTTCATGCACCCATAATCCAGTATCAGACACCCATGATCCAGCCAAAAGCCTCTGCTGTAAGTTCATGAGGCTTTGAAGGGATTTATAGTTATAAATTGTAATAGATAGTAACACTAATTTTCAGTTTGCTTTATTTTCCAGTACTCTGAGAGTTAATATATTTTAATATATTTAAAATCATAGGGTGTTTGTTCATGTCCTGTACTGCCATTTGTTCTTGTGTATAAAATAGAGACAATCAACTTCCTATACCAAAATTGCAAATGTGCAAATTTCTAACACAATGCTTGCGCATATATATATGCTCATTGAATGTTACTTTTCTCTCTAGACTTACTTTTATGGGCTTTTTTGATTTGAAATTACAGTTTCAAATAAATTTAAAATCTGTATAATTTCTGCATGCAGTTCAATTGAGGTCCTGTATTAGTTTTTTTTTTTTTTAACTGAACTTCAGCATTAGTGTATAAGATAGGTGATCAATCAAGTTTTCGTTTTTATCATCATAGGATACTTCATTGACTTTAACAATTTATATTCATTCAGAACTTTTTTATTTTATTGCTACAGGCACGAGGAAACCTTTACTTTGTTCTTATTATCTAGAGAAATACCTGTCTTCTTCTCTTTGTAGTCTGTTTTTATCCTTTTTTATACTTCCTATGGATATTATAACCTGTAGTTTTAACTATTTGAATAATAGGATTAGAACTTAACTGATCGCACAATAATTATTATAAAAGTGGGTCATGAGGAATGAAGCAATTTGGATAGTTGCTCTAATCAGTGAATTTCATGTGATGTATTTTATTAACAAAGGTAGGTACAAAGTAAATGTGAAGGCAGTTGAGACAAACTGATGAAATGAAACTACTTTAGTTTTTTAGGGTGAAATATTAACTACACAAAGACTTCCTGAAGGAAAATTCTTAATAGACATGTATTATTACAAGAAAATTTAGAATTAGTTGGGGAAAAGCTTTAAAGATGCAAGAATATAAAAGGTATAAAAGGATCAACTAAGCTACTATGGAATACACTCAGTGTTACCAGAAGCAAATTTTCAACTTAGCATTTTGAGGATAGGAGTAATGAAGGCAATTTATCATAAAATGGTAAGCATGCATTAATGCCCCACCAGAGATATTAGTTATTATGAGTTATTCTCTGCATCTGCCTTCCTAATAAAGACTAAAAACATAGGTGGCATAAAGTGCTTTCATATTGGATTAAGGGTACACTATCATACCATAACTCATTTTACCTTCAGATTACTCTGAATTCAGTTTGAATGAAAACTTTGTGGCTTTTGGTGGGGAGATTCATGACTAACAAGGAATTACTTTGACTGGAACTTCAGAAGAAATAAAGTTGGCTCTGCTTTGCCTTATTTATCACACTCTTGAAGAGTACCACTTACACGGTAGGAAGCAAAAGCGAGTCTTAAGGTCTTGTTTCTAAGTTGGGCATAGAGTCTTTTAGGTTAGCAAATCTCAGTGAACAGTTACAAGTTTGCAAGGACTAACCTCACGCCTTTTTGTGTATGTGTTGACTACATTTGGGCTGTAGTTAACATTTATCATTGTAAAGGCCTTGAGCACTGTTTGACAGCTTGTACTAAGAAAAAGAAATCAACAGAATTCTTCAGTGTGTTTCTGCTTCTAGATTTCTTATTTTTTTGTAACAACCTAAGAAATAAAATCATGAGAACTACTAAGAAATTCACATCTGATTTAGTTTAACTAGTTCTTGGTGTTTATTTTAATTTTTTATGAGAATACTTATATTCATTTATATTTTGGATTATTTTAAAATTTTGTGCATCTGTGACAGTCTGCTTTATGTGGAAATTTATTTTGGCTTTGGAGACCTTATGGTATATTGGAAGAGAATAAAAAAGAAAATTTCAAATGACAAAGCAAGTCTTAAACTATGAGAAAGTATTTACAAAAAACAGATAAAGGATTGTTATTTAAAATATACAAAGAAATTTTATGTTTCAGCAAAAAAGAAATGATAAAAGACACCTTACCAAGGGGAGTAGATAAGCATATGAAAAGATACTGTAATAAGTGAATTAGGCACTTGCAAATTAAACAACCTATACAACTGCTAGGCAAAATTCAAAAACATGAGCACTTACTATCAGTGTTAGTAAAGATAAGGAACAACAGGAGTTTTCATTTGTTGCTGGGAGGTATGTAAACTAATACAACTTTGATACACAGTTTCAGACAGCTTCTTAAAAACCTAAACATATCACAGCCTTATGATCCATCAGTCATGCGCTTTGATATTTATCTGAATTTGTTGAAAACTTGCATCCACCCAAAAACCTGCACACACGTTTGGCAGCTTTATTCATGATTGTCAAAACTTGGAAGCAACCCCGATGTTCTTCAGTAAGAAAATAGAGAAATAAACTGGTATATCCAGACAATGAAATGTTGTTCACCATTAAAAAGATATGAGCTAGCAAGTTCTGAAAAGACAGGGAAAAAACTTATATGCATAGAAATAAGTAAAAGAAGCCAATCTAAAAAGGCTCATGCTGTGTAATTCCAACTGTATGACATTCTGGAAAGAGCAAAAGTGTGGTTTCATTATAAAGAACAGTGATTGACAGCAGTTAGTGGATAGCAAAGGTGAATAGACAGAAGTAGCCAAGATTTTTCAGGGCAGTGAAACCACTCTGTAAAATATTGTGATGGTATATACATGTCATTGCATGTTTGTCAAAAATGCAAAGAATATACAACATTAAGAGTGAACCTTCATGTAAAATACCAGTTTTGGATGATAATGATGAATGTATAGGTCTGTCAGTTACAACAAATGTATCATTCTGGTAGAAGGTACTAGTATCTAGGACGTTGTAGGTATATTGAGTGAGAGAGTATTTTGGAACTCTGTACTTTCTTTTCAATTTTTATATGAAACAAAAGTGTTTTAGAAAGCTTAGAATAATCCCCTCCTCTGGGCTATTGCACTTTTTATAACCTTTCTCTCATTGGGTGTGAGAGCCCAGAGCCCAGGGCACTTAAGTTAGTCTAGGAAAATTTGAGAAATGTTTCACAGAAGTAGTGATTCTCAGATGGGATTCAAAAGGCAGGTAGAATTTTACCAAGAGGATGATGGCCAACAGAGAAGGAAGGGTTTAAATAGGAGGGAGAAATGAAAGCTTGAGGCAGGATGCATCAGTGACATACACTTTGAATGGCTTATAATCTAACTGAAACTCTAAGAGTTTATAGTTAGCAAGATGTAATGGCACATTCCTGTAATCCCAGAATTCCAGAGGATGAGACAGGAAGATTGCTGCAAGTTCAAGACCAGCCTGGGCTGCATTTTGAGCTCAAGGCCAGCCTTAACTATGCAACACCCTGTTTCAAAAACAAAATAAAACAAAATTATTGATAGAAGTTAGAGCATTAGACTAATGGACAAGTTGAAACTGTTTCATAGCCATTTTAGACATGCTAGTATGTTTGAAGTTTAACTCTAGACCCAACTATTAGTTGTTTGGGAAGAGTACTAAAGCTAAAACTTACTGTACATTTACTTCATTGGTTTATATACTTCATATTATAGTCATAACACTCCTTCATGTTGGACATTATTATCTCAACTTAACAGTGAGGTAAAGAGTTAAATAGCTGCCTAAGTAGTGAGTGGTAGAGTTTAGTTTTTGATATCAAAACTCAAACAACGCAGATCTAATGATGTTGCTATTTTTTGTTTTCCCAGGCCTGAGGGCAACAAAATAGACCATAACTGCAATCAACTGCAATCCTATCACACCTTTATAATGTTTCCCTTGGCCAAATATGCACTACTCAATATTCGAAAGAGTGGAAGCATTCTGCAAATTGCCGCAAGACAGGCCCATCTGAAGCAGTCATCGAATTTTCATGACAAATACGGCAGTACTGTGCTAGCTGGTGGAACCATTTTCTGTGCTGCTACATGGGTGTTTTTAACTACACAGATGGGAATAGTGTGGAACCCATCTCCTGTTGGCCGAGTTACCCCAAAAGAGTGGAAAGAAATGTAATTACCACCATTAATATAAAACAGAAGTGTTTCAAACCCAACTTGTTATATACACATTCTACTGTTCATTTAAGAAAACACAACTAAAGAAATAAAACATGTTTGAAATTATAAAATCATTATAAATACTCATTTTAGTGCCTGAATTCAATGCTATGTAAGACTGAATATAGATTTTAGAGGATTATGAATAACAAATATTTAAAAGTAGAATTAATAAAGTCTGGTTTATGGCTTACCCCAAGTATTCATCTTTGGATGTACACATACATGTCCCTTATGAATAAAATTAATTTGCTAACAAATCTTACAGAATATTCTTCTTAAATATTTTCAAGAGGTGACCATTTTTCACATCCTTCTCTACCCTTATCTGAACCACTCACTAGAGTATACTCATTGGAGTTGTTATACAAATTTTCTAAATACTGTCCTTGCTTGTTTATTGACTATCTCCCTAGGCATATATACTACAAACCTAACACCCCAGTCTTTGGCAGTGTAACAGCTGGGATAGTCCCTTAAAACATTGTCTAGGGATGCTCCTTCTCATCTTCAAAACCTGGCAGCTCTCCATTTCTTTCACAGTCAAAGCTGAAGTTCACAGCAAGGTGCTCAATCCTGTATGTGCTATACTCACTAGTTTTTACCTCCTATATCAAGATGTTTCCATTAGCACTTCCTTTCCCCTGTGTAGGATGTGCTTCTCCAGTTTTATGTATGACTCACTGCCTCACACTTTTTTTGGTTTTGTTCATAAAGGATCTTTGCCTACTTTTTTAATTCTACTCTTTTTTTTTTAAATTGTACTCTTTTGGACTGGATTTTTCTGTTTTACCTCTTTATTTTTCTCGATGTCTATTGTCACCTGATATTAGATATATTTTGCTTATTTATTTACATATTTATTTATTGTTTTTGTGAAAACTGTATAAAAGCATAGTTTTGGGTGTGCTTTTCTTGATTTTGTCCTTTGAATAGGCCGTGATGTATTAGACTTTCTAGTAACCTGAATCAATGCATTATTTGTTGACTTTAGGTAGTTTAGAATCCTTAGGCATTTTAAAATATGAAATTGTTTACTACTGCAATTACTGATTTGCAGTGATTATCAGATCATATTTTTATTGCCATTTAATAAATTATCCAAAATGTAGAGGCTTAAAGCCTCTATAAACTCAGTTTGTGGGATAGGAATCTGAGTATGACTTGGTTGCACGCTGTAGTGTAGGAGTTCATATTTCTACAGTGTTGGGCAGGGCTACAATCATTTCAAGGCACAACTAAGAGATAATGCATAGCCAAACTCATTCATATGGTTGTTGGCTGGCCTTGAGGGTTTGTTGGATTTGGCTGATATGACAGATTTTTGTAATGTGTGTGTCTCCATAGGGTAGCTCATCCCTGTGTCAACAGTGACTCTCAGGCCAGAAGCCACACTTTGTGTCTTAATCTTACAAGTAATATCATTTTACCTTTACTGTAATCTGTTCACTAGAAATAAACCCAAGCCCATGGACAAGGGGCAGAGAATATACAAGGGGATGATTACCTGATAACAGATATCACTGGGAAAGAAAAGGGCTGTATATGACAGTAGCAACAGATACGTTTCCTCCCTCCTACTGAATGACCAACTTCAAAGTGTTTGTTCCTCAAACTCAAATACATATTTGTTGTCATTATTTTCTAGAAAAAGGATGTTACAGGTGCCCCTTACCATGTTACCATTTAAGAATTCTGATGTCCTGCCTTCATGTGAAACTGGTTGGCTTTTGTAGTATTCAGAATCATTCTCCAAAGTGTAATGTTAGTTTGGTCAGAAATTTTAATATTTTGCTCATTTGGTAAGTATTAAATAGTAGTTCCTAATTAATATATGTTTTTCTGTTAACTGATGAGTTTGGACTTACTGTTTTGCATCCTACTTTTTTCTGTTCTATAAATTTTATTTGTTCTGGGTTTTTTTCTACTTTTCTATTCATTATGGAAGTATTTTGTATATTTTGCATGCTAATTGCATCAGTCAAGATTTAAACAGAGACAGAACCAACACAAGTAGTATAGAATATAGGATTACTTGTGGAAATTGGAATGAAAATAACTGCAGTAGGTGGTAAAGAAACCTTTACAAAGCAGTTACTCTGTGTCTGATAGAAAACACAGTCTAAGTAGAGGAAAGCTGCATTTGAAGTAGGGAATAGCTAGGGCCAACTAGAATTGTAAAGATACACTGCAATCAGTATTTCAGATTGGAACATTGCACCTGTTTGTCACTGTCTCTAACTAAAGCGCTGCAATGACCTTGAGAGAAAATTGGTGCCCCATCACTATGGAACTACACATTTACTTGGCTCAGAGTCAGAAAAGCTTAAGGAAAAGAACTGGTGGGAATTTAAATGGATATTGGCCCAGGTACAACTGGAAGCAAGCCAGAGGATCCACAACAAATTACAAAAGCTATCACAGTGCTCTGTGCTCTACACCAACTTTCTAAGGATAATATTGTTTGATGTTTCATGCTTGATTTCCCTAACTCATGCATTTTTTTCTTATGACCAACTCTAACCTGAAACCATAGAGGGAATGGAACGCTGGTGCTGTTTGGTTTTTAAGTGGCTCTCAAATGTCCATTATGTTAAAAGTTTTGTTCCCAGTGTGATACCATTAGTAGATGGTCAGACTTCTAAAAGGTGAGGACTAGATTGAGAGCCTCAGAACACCTGGGGCATACCCTTCGAAGGAACTGTGTATGTTCTTTCTCAGAACTCCTGTGATAGCTTGTCATCTGTTGCCTTCATCAGTGGGAGACCAGACTTTCATTTGCCCGATCTCAAACTCAAAAACTATGAGCCAAGTAAAGTTTTTCTCTTTATTGTTAGCTACCTAGGATATTTTGTTATGGTGATGCAAATCAAACACAGACAAGGGGAAAAGTAGTTCAAGGTGACCTAAATTGAAACTTAGAAAGCTACTCTTTACTACCCTCTGTCAAACTGACATCAGCTTTACTAATCATTCTTACATTTCTAATGAAGACAGTAAGAAACTATTCTTCCACCTAAAATTAGGCAACGTTCCTTCGTAAAGCTAAAAACATTCTAGCTGTCTTAGAAGGGCACAAAATTTAGGATGACAATCTCATACTCCTTCAACAGCACCATTTCTGTGATCCCTAGTGGAAGTCTAAGACTTTTGTACTAGTAAAGCCTAAAGTTGTGGGGACATGCAAACAATATTTCTCTAGTGAATCTCTATGGGTAATTGTGCGAGGAACTATTCCATATTCTGTTCTTGATCTGTAGATCTCTAAACCTTGACTCTGACCTTTCTTTACTTGAAGTATATCCAACATCTTGGAAGCCATTGAACTGTTAAGGCCCTATGGCATTCTACCAGTGTCTTGGTTACTTTTTTCTCATTGCTGAGACAAAATACTTGATGACCAAAAACAGGGAAGGAAGGGTTTATTTCTTATAGTTCTTGGAGGTTTTAGTCCATACTCATTTGATGCAAGTCAGAGTGGCGTGGTTAGAGGGTAGCCTTTCATGGCTGTAGCAAACAGCAAGGTGTGAACTGTTGAGAGAGAGACATGATTTCTTCCTGCTATTACACTGTATGCTGGCCCCACCCCTGGGCTGGTGTAGTACTCATACCACCAATCTGAGTGTTAGACAACAAACAATCACAAATTTGGCCACGTCCATGATTGTATGAGGCTTGGGGGGGGGCACTGATATAAACCATGGCAACCAGTGATAGGAAACATAGGGAGACAGCTCATCATGTGAGTCATTTTAGTACTTATTTGCTGCACGTATTGATCAAAATCAGGACAAGGGTTATACCATGATGCTGAATAAGGAATTTTGTGAGTTCATGAATGACAGTTTTCACACATTTGTAGGAAGAAAAAGTAAATCTATATATGCAATGTGGATTCAAGTAACAATAAAGTACTGCTTGTGGCATGATGGAAATAATTCAGTAGAATCTACCTGGCACTGTTAGCTGGCAGATCTTTCCCCCAAGGAATAATGCCAAGTGAGAATACAATATTGGTCTATCCTTTGATAATTTGGGCATTCAACAGTTGCTGTAGCTAGACTACCTTGATGAGTAGAAGTTTGCTCTGCAAATCGTATACATAGACTCCATCTTTTCTGTCATGGTTACCCTTTTATGTCTGAGTCATTGTGAAAACATAGGTTAGCTGGGGAAAACACGGATAGTTATGGATCATTTTTTCCACCTCACTATTAAGATATTCCTATGCTTAATATTCTTTTGTTTTTCCTTTTTTTTTTTTTTTTTTTTTTTAAACCAAGAATCGAACTCTCAATCTTGTGCTTGCCAGGCAGGCACTTAGATCACTGAGCTAAATCCCTGGCTGGAATATATTCTTTTAATGGTAATTTATATGAGACATGCTTATCTTCAACTATGCTCATTTGTGCATTATATTCACACAGTGCATCCTCAGACACTTGGTTATTAGTTTTCTAATATTGTTCCTTTTGATTCCCGACCTGTTCTCTCAAGGCATTGGCTGATACTCATGGCTCAGTGTGAAATTGTCCCTCTGGCCATCTGTCCTTCTAAGGTAAGTGATAATTATTTGTACTACTTAATGTACTGCTTCCCAGAAAAATTTTCCTTTTCCTTCAGAGAACACCTGACATTAAACTGAAACTATCCACTGTCATATAGGCGGCATATTTTGCAGAACTAGATCTAGGGTTTAGCATTCCTATAAAACCTAGGGACAAAGTAACATGAAACTTTCCCAGATATCTAGCTTAGACACAATGGGTCCAGGAATCAAGTCCACATAGATGTTTGATATTAACGAGTATTTTAAAATGGGAATTACTTTACTGTTATATTGAATAGTATATTTGAAATTAGGATTAAAGTCATAATTCTTCAGATTTATGTATGTGTATTTGTAAGTTTGTATACAGAAAAATGCTTATGTGTGTATAACTAGAAATAGCTATGCCTAGATACTTTTTTCAAGACATTTATTTTAAAAACATACATGCTTACGATTTTTATATTTGAATTTTCTTCACTAGATTATTATAACCAAGCTTAAATATTTTATATTTCTTTGTTCCTAACTTACCTCACAATAAATTGTATTTAGACCACTAGTAAAAGACTGAGTGAAAACAATTTTGTGTTCCATGTGTCCAAAAACTACTTTTAAACAAATTAATCAAGTTACCAACCACAATACAATACTATATTGAAAGGCCTGGGACTTAGATCAGTGGCTCCAGTGCTT